AAAAAAAAAACACATCATAGTAAAATTAATACCTTCTCCGCTTCGCATCGAAGCTAAAAAAAAAAACACTTCATAGTAAAACCAATACCTTCTTAGCTACGCACCGAAGCTAAAATAAATTAAAAACAGAAAAGGCTCAACACATTACATTGAATAAAAACAATGTGATACCCAGTCCCGGATGGGACTCATTCGAATATGGGGATCTCGGCCCCAGAAAATGGCAGACGTCTTATAAAAATTACTACATGATTTAACAAACGACACACACGAAAAAAATTAATGTTGGCTGTATGCACACAGCAACAAAATACCACAACGGTGGTTCAAAGGGAAGAGAGTCAATTTTTCTTACACACCGGGCGAGACATAACGACGACGACGATTACGTTTGGGAGAGGGTATCATCTTAACAATTTACAAAATATAAAAAAGATAAAATTATGAACAATATTAAAATTATACAGGTATTTTCAGTGGTGGCCAGTGTATGTGTCATAGAGGGAACGATTATTAAACTGATAAAGAATATTGTGTGTATAGCGTTCACCTTGACAGCAACAGTACAGTTTTCTGATTACATGGCTGGATATAACGTATGCGCGCCCATTAGCAAAGCAAAACAGTAAATCTATTTGTACCATAAAAATTCACATTTTGTCACGTTACAACTATTTATTATTTCAAATGTACTTATAACTTATATATACTTTAACCTATCTACAATATCCCATTCTTGTGCTTTTCTTTATTATTTTTTCAAAATAGACAACTCATTTGAATAGATCTAATAAAACATTAATTTCAAAGGAATAAAAGTACTATTTGAATCGTACTTTATTCTTGTTTTTAAATTTTAAAGAATAAATTGAATATATTATAGTTTACTTAGATACGCTTGAATTAAATTATTAAGACACATCTTTGTATATTTATGTCAATTATATAACAGGTAATGGATTTCATTGCATTGGATTGTAATTTGGAGAACTTAGTAAAATTAATAAATATAAAATTTATTTTTTTACATCGTTAAAAAAATAGAATTAACTCTTATGCCTTTTTACATAAAAAGTTGTGATATGTTTCATATTTGAAATTATAACACTAATAAAAAATTCATTCGTATTTAATTTTAAGTTATTTAAAGTTAGGTCATACTTACTTATTATTTGTTGGATTTATCAACTGAATAAATCCAAGATCTTCGTAATTAATTTTAATTGTTTCAGTGTAAAATGAATTCATCTTATTACACATGAATTGTATAAAATCCGGGAAATCTCTGCTGTGTGTCAAATATTCTGTTTCACATTTAGTTTTGAGATCAATTTTCTCACCAGTATTTATAATAGATTTATTTTTCTCGAAGCAGTTATTTGCAATTTTAGATACATCACTAATGAATTCTTTAGTTTCTATAAATACTTGATGATCAACATGATGATACTCGGATTGGATTTTTTTAAAATATATATGGTTTTTTATTTCATAAATGTAATCAACTATTGTGTACGGGTTAGTTTCTAACTCGGGATAGACAAGTTTAAAGTCAATATAACTTAAAAATGTCATAGCATTGTATATATTATCAAACATTGTCAATGAATTGTTTATTACTTTTACTAGTAATATTGTACAATTTTTAAAGTTTTCCAATACATTAGCGTCTAAAAAGTGTACACATATATCAACAACAATATTTAATAATTCTACAAATGTTGAAAGTACTTCGCTATACCTGTAGTTTAAAATATCAATAATATTATAGAAAACACTTAGCAAATTTTTGTCGTTGAGTTTTTGCGCTACTAAATCTTGGACACTTAAAATTCCAATGGAATCAAGTTTTAAGTGTAAGTTCCCCATAGATTTCCATCCATTTTGAATACACAAATGATCACCTATTTCAATTAAATAATTTAAGTATGATGTTTCTTCAATTTCACATTCTACATTGGCGATATTGTAATAAATTATAGTCAATTTTAAAACAAATAGTTTAAGATTCATATCAATAAATTTATACAATTAGTGATACTATGCTATGAAATGAATTAATATAAAATTTTTTTTTATTATTTATTGTAATATTCATACCTAAAAATACCGTGTCTATATTAAGATGTGTATTAACAAAAATGTAATTTATTAAGCGTCAATATGCAATTATTAATTATTTAATATGCGTAAGACTAACATTACGAATAAAATTTTTAAATAATTTTTTCTTTTAGTAATTTTTAAAAACATTATTTCGATATTGTGTTCAAAACGCTCTAGAATTACAAAATACAAAAATATAAAAATTCGTATAGAGTTTTATCATAATTACTAATAATATATCAGATTACGCTGTAATCAATCTATCTTAATTGTTTAATTTAGGTTAAAAAAATAAAAAAATAGGCAAATCATAGACTAAAAATTGATTAATTTAAAAAAATTGTATTATTAAATTTTAATACTATTTAATAAAAAATATTTTTTTAATTTTAAACACTTAAGATGCAGTATATTTTCGTATCACATTTAATTGATACACAATAATTTATAAGATCTTATTTAAAAAATTTTCAAATTTTTTTCCAAAGAATAAAATTTAATTTTTTTCAAGATTATTTTTTGTGCGCTAACTATTGTATTTTTCAAAAAATAATAATTTATATATTTTATCTAATAATAAATATTGTATTTTTAAAAATGATTTTCAAGTTTCATTTATTTCTTGATTTGTTAGTTATTAGTTAATCTTTAATTATTCTCTTATACCTTGTAACGTCACAAATTCGAAGGTGGACCGTTTATGATTTTTTGTTATGTCTACTTATTTATTTTATCGCGCGAAAGAACCTTTTTCTGACACAGCGGTGTCAACCACTCATTATTTTGCCTCTGACCGCTAGATAAGGCGATAAAAGAGAAATATAATTAAATTGTTTATCAGTATTGATCCCTTCCAAAAAGAATGGCTGTTATCGTTTTGAAATTGCCGANTGGCCGTTATCGTTTTGAAATTGCCGTTAGATCGGTGTTGACTCTTCTCTATTCTTTCTTCTGTCATTGACCGTGCTAGGGTGCACACATTTGTTGTTTTATTGACACTCTTTTTTTAATGATGGAGTAGAGCCGCCAACGGCGAACGGTCAGGTTTTTTCGACGAAGCATCCAGACCATCGGATGGGTCTCTTCGGAGACCGGGTATCGTTTTCTTTTTTATATTATATTTATGTAATGAGCTATATTTTATTAATTATTTTATTTCATTTTATTTTATTGCGAAATTAACTTAATTTTGTTTATGTGTGGAGAGCACGTGTTTCCCTTTTCTTCTAGCCAACGCTAAGGAGCGAGTGTCCAGACCGCTCCTGGTGTTCTTCATTAATTTCCGATTAACATTAACGGATGTGTTCCAATATCTAACAAATTCTTACAAAATATTGAGTTAATGTATCGTCTTTTGTTTTGCATCGCGGAACAGTGATGTCACCGGTTGACCTCTGGCTAATATTTTCCTCAGCTGTGGGTATTATATACACGGACGGTTCTTCAAAGGAAAAAAATGTTTGTGTTGAGTCTTCAATTGCTAACTTCGATTTAAATGACGACTCGGATAACCTTTGCAACGAAAATAACCCAACCCAAATGAGTACTGAAGGTAAATCTGGACTGTGTATTATATCCACTTTTTGTGTTGATAAAAGTGGATACAAATCAGTACCGATCAACATATCAACTGATGACACATCATCAAATCTCGGATCAGCTAAGGCCAAATGCTTTTAACGCTCTCGTACCGTGTTAGGTAATTTAGCATGAGGCATAAGTTTGGTTATTTGTGGTAAAATTAAAATCTTGAAACTCGGTCCTCGCGCTACTAAAGGAACAAACTGTCATAATATACTCTTCATTACCATAACATGGCATAATTATACATTATATTCTTAGGACATGATCCTTTTTAAACAATTAAAAAATTAAACAATGATGATTTTCGGGGGTAAAAAATATTGTAAAAAGGCAAAGCAAACCCATATTCCGTTCATTTTGTGCTCTCGATATAGTTATGTGGACATTGCGATCATCATTGTCAAAGTTCTTACGTGTTTGATTTGTGAACTAAAATTTAAGTGTGTTGTTGTACGGGCCCAAGTGGTAAAGGAATTAAACTTAAAAAAAAAACGAAAACATTCACTTTTCAATAAAAATGTAGAATATATAATGTGATTAAACAGTAAATAATTTAATACAACGTTAATTATTAATATTATTACAAATGAATTGGATAATGAAATAGAATGACATAGAATGATATAGAATGAAGTAGAATGAGTGTAACTAGCGCATACTAAACCACGACTGACTGTAGGGTACCTTTGACCATGGTTGCCCTAAATCCCTTGGTTAATAAAAAATAATATTCAGGGGTTCTTAACACCCCCCAACATAAATGAGTAATAGGGATCTAATGATTCCCATTGACTCAAGGTAATCAGATAAATAAAGTTATACAATTCCAAAAGGATTTAGAATGTTTTTCATATTGGCGAATTATATAATCTAAAATAGATTAGTCAGAGTTGCCCATTAGTAATTTCAGTGGTATATACTTGAATCACCTTTTTCTTATACCTAAAGAATACAGAGACAATTATAATTAATATGATACAAATTGACAAACAAGTATATATGATAACAATATGATAATAATTTAGTAAAAAAGCATTGTGTAGTGTATGTGTTATCGAAAATATAATCAGTTGTTTATTAACTCTAAACGGAGTAACATCATTGCTTTAACCTAACAAATGGCGACATTGATGAGATCAAACCACATTATTTCTTTTTTCTTTTTGGGGGTTTTTTTTTACTGTTAAAGTGTAAAAAAAATAAATAAATAAAATTAAATAATTAATTAAACGTAAAGTATGCTTGAAAGCATACAGTGGCGGCGCGAGGTAAAATTTATATGTGGGCGAAGTAGACTTAAAGAGGCCCTTTTTTTTTAATTTTTTTAATAAACATTTAAGTAACAATAGTTATTTAATAAATATTAAGATTTACAATTTTTAAAACAATAAACTCTAATTATTAACCTTTTATTTGCAAAGTAGTCAATATAATTTTATTTATACATAATTATAAAATTAAATACATATTTTTTTAAATTAATAATACTGTTAGAATTTTCTTTTTTTTTTATTTACAAGAAATGGACTTTTCGGCTTTTTGCTTCACTAAATGTTTTAAGTATATCTTCGTAATTTAAATTATTTGCAATTTTCGTTTCAATGGACAAAACTGCTAATGCTGAGAGTCTTTCCTGTGTCATCGTATTTCGTAGGTAATTTTTAATTATTTTAAGCTTCGAAAAACTTCTCTCTGCTGAAGCTATACTGACAGGAATAGTGAGCATAATTCTGACTGTTATATAAACATTTGGATATATTTCTTGTAAATTATTTTCTATTATGTATTTGATGAGTTGTTTTGCATCCTTAATAAAGTCTGGTAGACTTGAAATTATGAGTTGTAATTCTGCGTATAATTCAAATGATTGAATGTCGCTCTTTTCACCCTCTTGAAGAACTGTACCTAAATCACAACAATGATTATAAAGGTCTTCTTTGGAAATGGATCTTAAAATATTCATATCATAAATAAAACCAAAATATTCAAAGTATTCATTCAATGATTTAAATCTCCATTTAATGTCATGTAGAATTCCATCAATCATGCTGTTGAAAAAGTGAACTCTAAACTTTTTTATTTATTTTATATTTTAAACACAATTAATAAAGTTTTATACTTACATCTTAGGTACGTGTGGTATGATTTTTGCGTCGTTAAATATTATTAAATTGAATAAAATTTTCGGTAATCGATCGACNTTTTTGCGTCGTTAAATATTATTAAATTGAATATAATTTTCGGTAATCGATCGATACAGAAACGAGGATAAAACACAACCAATCGAACTAACAACAACTGTCAAAATGAAATTACGTTATCGAGTTTAGATAAAATCGGTTCACCGAATCGGTCAGTCTGGCCCCGATAACGCGGTTTATATGTTAATTATAGAATAGTCGCGGTCGTTTGCCGATCGGCAACCGACAAAACGCATAGTATGATCTGGTACTTTTAGTAATGACTAAATATGACGAAATATAAGATTTATGTTTATGATTTTTTTTTTACAATAAAATAATTTCATGGATACAAAAATTTTTGTATAGATACTTCTCCCATATTTTTCTATGGTTAATTATAAGTCCCTTTGGAACGCGAGGCCCTTTGAGGTGCGAGGCCGTAGGCAATGGCCCACTTCGCCCACGCCTAGCGCCGCCACTGGAAGCATAGAGCAATTCGTCCCGGGAGACGATATTGGTGAATATATAGAGCGGTTAGAGCAATTTTTTGTGTTTAATGATGTACAAGAAACTAAAAAAGTGACTTCGTTATTAACTTTTATCGGACATGATGCATATTTGGTGTTAAAGGAATTGACGTATCCGAATAGTCCAAAAAAATTAATTTATAAAGAATTAATAAGTAAGCTTAAAGTACATTATTCACCTGAAATCAATGAAATCTTGGAGAGATATAAATTTCATAAAGAAGATCAGAAGGAAGGGCAATGTAGAATACATAGTGGAACTTAAGTCAAAGGCTCAAAATTGTAACTTTGGAGCATTTTTGGAGGAAGCTTTAAGAGACCGTTTTGTGTTTGGCGTCAGAGAAAGCAAATTGAGGGCATTGCTATTAAAGGAAAGTAAGCTAACTTTTGCAAGTGCTTGCCAAATAGCGACGTGCTGGAAGATGGCAGAAAAAGAAATTGAAGAAAAACCATTAAATCAGTTTGCGGTACAAAAACTAAATAATTATGGAAGTAATAATAATAAAAACACATATGGCAAATGTGGAAAAAATCATGCGTCAACTTTTGAATGTCCAGCAAAAATGGTTCAGTGTCATAAATGTTCTAAGTTTGGACATTTTGCACGTTTTTGTTACACAAAGTTAAAACCAACAAAAAAAAAAAAT